ACCTGGCCAGCATTCCTGAGAACCACATGCCTAGGCCTGGGGCCATGGCTGACAGCAGTTTCCACATCTTCCAGGGGCCAGTATGCACTGGCAGTTCTGGGCATCGAGTCTCTCAGACCTCAGGGTCCTTTGTGACCCTGGTCACAGATTTTGCTTTTGTTTGCTCCTAGGAGATCGAGAAGATGGACCGACAGACAGCAGAAGCACTCATCACTGTGTACAGGATGAGTGGGGTGAGGGGCGTAGACTCTACCTGACCCACCTCTGAGCTCCCATCCTGAGAGAGAGAGGGAGGGAAGAGAAAGTTGGCAGAGCCCGTGCACTAGACCAGACAGATAGCTCCAGGCTTCATGACTTGAAGGCAATGACCTATATGACTATATGACAACTGTGGCTCTGCACCACCAAACACAGGGTGCCAAGAGGCATAACTGGCCCTGTCCGTGACTGGATACAGTTAATGGAACAGAGGGCAATGTTTAAGTATTCAACTGATGGGAAGAGGAAAATAAACCAGGCTAATAAGATCAAAGTGCTAGATTGGTTTAGTGGTACCAGCACCTCCTTTGATGCTGCAGGTGGTGGTAGGGTGTACCTCCATCCACTGCAGTCCAAGGGAAGGCAGAGACCTCTCAGAGAGACACAGAAGATGCCCTGGAGGTGAGCAGGGCATTTCCCAAAGTTCTCTTGTGTTCTCTTGATAGCTGCTGGATAATGACACATTGGCAGAGCAGGTCCAGGCTGCTGGGCTGTGGGTTCCACACCTTGCTCAGGTGTCAGGTACTGACATCCATACTGGGACCCCTTAGTGTCATTACTCAGTAAGACCTGGAGCCAGAAGCTCCCCGGATATGCATAGGTCTGCTATCCCAGTGATCACAGAGCAACCTCTGGAGTGCCCCACAGCATCTGCCAGCTTGCTCCTCATGGGCCCTTGACATCATGGAAGCAGTAGGTATGGTTTTTCTTCATGGGAAACAAAAACAAATGCCAACAGTGGTGACTCTAGAGCCACAGGATAGGAGTCAAACAAAGGCTTCTAGGGAGAAGCTTAAATTCCAGTAAACACAATAAATATAGCTGTGTAAAACTGTAACATTATCACATAGCACGAGGTCAACAATGTATAAAAATCATTGTAGACAGAGAACAACTCTGAGATACCATCTTACTCCTGTCAGAATGGCTAAAATCAAAAACACCAATGACAGTTTATGCTGGAGAGGATGTGAAGAAAGGCGAACACTCCTCCACTGCTGGTGGGAGTGCAAACTTGAGCAGCCACTTTGGAAATCAGTATGGTGATTCCTCAGGAAAATTGGAATCAGTTTACCACAAGATCCAGCAATTCCACTCTTAGGTATATACCCAAAAGAAGCACATTTATACAACAAGGACATCTGTTCAACGATGTTCATAGTGCACTATTTGTAATAGCCAGAAACTAGAAGCAGCCTAGATGCCCCTCAACCAAAGAATGGATAGAGAAAATGTGGTCCATTTACACAATGGAGTACTACTCAGCAGCACAAAACAATGGAATCTTGAAATTTGCAGGAAAGTGGATGGAACTAGAAGAAACCATTCTGAGCGAGGTAACCCAATCACAAAA